TCTCTCTCTCTCTCTCTCTTTGCCTTTTTGCGTTGCAATGGCAGTCCGACTGGGACCGCATGTACACCGAGCACCCTCAACTGTGGCTCTCGGAGCTCGCGCCGGACGGCCTATCTCTGGTTGGCGACATGCATCCGCTGCAAGGCCCCAAGCACGGCTACCAATGCGGCCTTCTCGAAGCGCCCTACCTCTTCCACCACGCGCCCACCAACGCCTACATCCTCTTTTTCTCCTCGGGCACGTTCACCAACGGCTCCTACGCCACCTCCTACGCCGTCTCCCACAACGGCCTCTTTGGACCCTATACCTGCCCTGGACACCCTCTACTGCAAACCGACAGGCATCGCAGCATCATGGGTCCCGGTGGTGCATGCGTGGTGCGAGGCGTGGAGAACGAACACTTTATCGTCTTCCATGCACTCGAAAAGGAGGAAGGAAATCGAAGAATGTGCATCCAACGCATCGAGTTCAACCAAGACGGCACCCCCGTTCTCTCATCCCGTCCCAACTGCGGAAAGAGACTCCGATTGGGTGCGGAACAAGACGACGACGTCCAACACTTTGGAAACCACCATCCACCTCCTCCGCACGAGGAAGGCTCCAGCCACACCGGCTCCGGCAAGATGTCCAAACTCCTCCGCAAGATCCAAGACAAGCTCGACTAGCCCCCACACATCCCACACGCACACGTCTGTCTGCTTTTCAACCTTTCTATCGTCTTGTCGATTGTCATGCGGGGTATCACCTGCCAATTCCAGAATTCGCCTCCTCGCATCTTGCGGTCCGAAAGAGAGATTCCGGGCGCAGGTCAAAGCTCATTGCATCGTGTCTTGTTTTTCTTCTTGGAGTGATTTGGGCGGGATGTTGAGATCCTCACCCATGTTTGCGGTGACCAAGCAGGTCCCTGGCAGCGCTCAGGAGGACCATCGCTGCCAGACGGACGCAATCCTGCCCCACGACCAGAGGAACGACCAGATGCCAGCCGCCGAGAGGATGGGTAGCGAGAGGTTGTCGTCGACGCCGCCGAGCTCCAGGCCCTCAGCCACGCCAGCCACGATGCCCGAGCCAAGCGTGAGCAGCCACCACGGCATGCCCGGCACGTCGTTGTGGATGGGCAACGCATCCGTGCCCAGCTTGCCCTTGGCGATGCTGTCCGCGCCCAGGTACTGCGCCGACAGCCCCGACGCACCGGGCAGGAGGCCCGCGCCACTCTGACCGCGGAAGCCAGTCGAGAGACCCTCCCATCCGGTGCCCGTTGCGCCCGCCACACGGTCGGTGCCAAAGATGGCCGGGTGCGCGTATCCAGATCCGGACCAGGAGATGCCGTTGGTTCGCACGCCCGATGAGGCGATCGAGGTGCACCAGAAGAGGTACGACGTGAGCGCGCCGCTGATGATGGCCGCCACAAACCCAGCGGTGGACTTGCGGCGTGCAAAGGGCGGCGACGGCAGCGCCGGCGTATACCTGCCAAACGCGCGTCCAAACGTAGATGCGCACGTGTCGCACCACGACAGGATCATGATCGAGACGCACGCAATGTCCTCGGGGAAGAAATGGAGCGAGGTGATGACACCCACCAGGTACCACACCACGCCGTTGACCTTGTCCTTCTCGGACTCGCGCATGAGGAAGCCGAGCACCTTTTCGTAGATCTTTTCAAAGTCGTCGTTGTTGAGTCGGATGACGTCGGCGGTGACCACGATGCCGAGGAAGTACGACAGGTTGCGCACGATCACGTTGAGATCCGTGCCGGACAGGTAGAGGTGGAGCACCATGAATCCGATGGAGCTGTGGAAGATCTTGCGTGGGATCTCCCAGCTCTTGCTGCTCGCAGGCGCGACGGGGCCACTGGATCGAGGCTTGCTAGAAGTGGACTTGCTGGCGTTGGCTTTGCTTGACTGAGCTCGGCGGCGCACGTTTGCGCCGTTGGCCGTCATATCGGCGTTCGAAGACGAGGCGGAAGTGTCGATGGCGGAGGCAGCGCCCTGTACGGGCGTGGCGAGGCTGGCAGGTGTGTCTGATTGAGGGATGCCGCTCCTTTCGAGCATCTCGCGGTCGAAGTCGGACTCTGCACGCGAGAGCGCACGAAGCACGGCGGCGCCCTTTTGGAGCGACGAGGAGCGCTGACGTGTGATGGACTTGCGCGTGGCAGGAGGCGGTGCCGAGCCGTGGAGCACCGAGGTGGGCGAAGAAGGTCCGATGGGGGAAGGCGATGAACGCGGCGACTCGGAAAGCACCTTGGCGGAGGGACGGGAAGACATGACGAGGAGCGAAGAGCGAGGCACAGGGTCACGTGAGGATGGGCACTCTGAAGAGGGAGGACCGGGATGGACGCTGCCGAGCGAAAAGCTGTTGACGCAACGACTTGGAAAAGTTTCGCGCAAAGGCTGCAGGTATATGCACGAAGAAGCAGCACCGGCGGCGAGGACAGACCGAGACACGGAGCAGGTGGATCCTTCTAGTGCGGATGGAGGTCGAGCCGGCCAGGCAGCAGCGTGTGTGTGGTGCGGCAATCAGAAGACAGCAACGGATACTGTAGCTGCGGATGTGCACGTCGAATGTGTCGGATTGTGCACGGTCTAATGAAGTGGGAGAGAGGCAGCACGAGACGATGGATGGCCGATATGAAGGAAGCTGCGATGCACGGCCAATCGCACAAGCGTGACGCACTCCGTGTGTTTGCTTCGACGCCGCGAGCTGATTCGTGCTCCACCCAAAATGCACCGCCCGCCCGCCAAACTTGTCGACGCAACGTCACCTCGCTCCTCGACAAACTCGCACCGGCCAGCCAAAGACGCGCATCAACTTAGCTGCACGCACTCTGCAACGCGTCGACCGAGCGATTCGAGTTTGACAACAGTATAAGCATATATCTATGCAATGCTCAGCCAGCACAACATGAGCAGCTTCTTAGCGCAGTAGGTAGCGCGTTGGGCTCATATCTCGTATGAATTCCTGCCTTTCCACTCTTGAGTGGAGCAACCCAAAGGTCGTCGGATCGAAACCGACAGAAGCTACTTTTTTCGCTTTTTTTTCGCTTTTTTTCTTGGCATTTGTTTCCCAAAAAAAGTCATTTCCACAACGTAGCTTTCTTTTGATGCCTATGATCTATGAGCTGAAGCCCGACTCTCGACTAGGCTTGTGCGGAAGCAGCCTGCAGGAGGGGATCGCTCAATCACTGCGCTGAAACATCGGGCACGCGCGGGTTGCATGGTCAGGATTCTATTTGCAAGGCGGAACGACACAAAGACATGCGCATCACTGCGAGAGGTAGCCCTTGGCGAGTGCGATCTCGGCGTTCATGACGGAGCTGGTGGCGGCGCCGATCATGACGTTGTTGGAGAGCACGACAAATTTGATGTCGAATACAGGACACTCGCGCACGCGGCCCACGTTGACGCCGGCGCCGTTCTGCCAGTCGCGGTCGATGCGCGGTTGCGGGCGGTCCTTCTCCTCGTGCAGCGTGATGGCCTGTGCCGGCGCCGAGTGCACGCCGATCTTCTGCGCCTCGGTGGTGAATTCGGCCAGGCACTTCTTCACTTCCTCCACCGACGGGGCGGGACGCTGCTTGAACGATACCGATACGCATTCCATGTGACCGTCGATCACGGGCACACGGTTGCAGTGCGCCGAAACCTTGAGCTCGTCCTGCTCGTGGTAGTCAAACGCCGTCTTGTCCGACTTGATTCCACCCAGGATCTTGGCCGTCTCCCACTCGATCTTCTCCTCCTCGCCGCTAATGTACGGAACCACGTTGTCGAGGATGTCGAGCGACGAAACACCGGGGTAGCCAGCGCCCGAGATGGCCTGCATCGTGTTGACCAGCACACGGTCGAGCGGGCCAAACTTCTCCTCGAGCGCCTTGAGTGGCACGACGATTCCGGTGGTGGAGCAGTTGGCGTTGGTGACGATGAAGCCGGTCTTGGTACCCACCTGCTGCTTCTGGTACGGCAAGATCTCCATATGGTCCGGGTTGACCAGTGGCACTACCAAAGGACACAGCGGGTCGGTACGGTAGTTCTTGGCGTTGGAAAACACTCGCAGCTCTGCCTTGCGGAAGGCATCCTCCACCGGTCCGGCCGGTCCCGAGTCGAGGCCCGAGAAGACCACGGCGCACTCGGCAAAGTGGTGCGCCTGGCACTCGTACACGGGCATCTGCGCAACGTTGCTCGGGATGCGTCGGATCTGCTTCCATCGTCCCTCCACCGCCTGCGCATACGTCTTGCCCGCCGAAGACGACGACGCGCCCAACGCCGCCAGCTCAAACTGCGGATGCTCCGCAAGCTGCAGGATGAATCGCTGACCCACCGTACCAGTAGCGCCCAGAACGCCCACTTTGAGCTTGGCTTGTGATGCGGATGATGATGACATGCTGATGTTGCTCGAGATCAAGAGAAGAATCTGGACGAGATGATGGCCAAGAAGAAGATCCACGTGCATGCATGGCCCCGCTGTTCTTCTCGACTGCACTTGGCCGCCACCGAGTCACCTGCAGCCTTTCCTGCGAGCCCGCTTTCCCGCACTGTCCAACTGCCTCCACCCTTTCTTCCAACTCGGTCCGGTCATCGAGTCACTGGAAAAATTTCAAATCAGTGTGAGATCGTCGTCTTATACATGTAAATTCTTGCTCCGAACTCACCACACCCAACGAAACACAGCGCACCGGCAGCGTATCAGATGCCTTCGATTGGGAACGAGGCAAAGCATGACAAGTACAGAGGCCATGCGCCATCGCAACACGGGGTAGTGATGATCCAAATCGCCATCGCGGTCGCAGCGCGCTACGACTTCATGTTGGCCAGGATCTCGTGGTACGGCTGCACCAGCGAGGTGAGGTTGCGCGGCCTCGCGAGGATCTGCAGCACCTGCCCACACAGCTGGCGCTTGTCCAGGCCCAGGATGCTCGACTCCCAATACGCATCCTGCTGCTTCTCGGGCTTGTAGTAGATGGGCCCGATGAGCGACTTGATCAGATCCTCCGCCTGGTTCTTGATGCCCTCCTCGCCAAGCCGCTTGGCGTACGCCATGAGGTGGTTCTTGTACTCGGTGGCACTGTCCAGAATCACCGCCGCCATCATCCTCGCCTCGAGATGTCGCAGCGTCACTGCGATCACAAAGTCCGACTTCTTGTCTTCCGGCACGCTCATCTCCACCGGCGGCGACTCGTCGTCCTCGGACTCTTCCTGCGCACCCACCGGATTGTCGCCGTGCACGCGACGCACGTACATCGTGTTGATCTCCGCCTCGACCGCGCGCACCGGGTCGCGGCTCGACGCCTCGTTGCCGCGGCTGCGCGTTCGGCCATCCCATGCTTCCGAGTGCTCGGCCCACCATCCGTCACTGATGCATACCCATCCCAGCTTCTTGTCGTCGAACGTGTAGGCCTTCTCGCTGTGCAGGATCACGATCGGCGCGCCGTTGGTGTGCACCGACATGGACACCAGGTTCTCCGGCTCTCCAAGCACGTTGAGCACCGACACTGGCCGATGGATTTCGCGGTCGCTTCGGATATTCCACCGGTACATCAGTCCCGACACTGTGACTGCCATGAGCACCACGCCGTTGCTTTCCAGCCGGTAGCAAGCCGAGTCGAGCAGCAGATTGCCGATCCTGCGTCCTCGCGTCGTGTAGATCAACACGGTCGCGTCCTCGAGCGCCACTGCAGAGAAGAAGGCCGTGGCGGTCGCCAAGGTGGCCGCTGTCGGACTGAAGTCAATCCACAGCACTCGGTCCTTGTCTGCCGAGTCGATCTGGGTGATCTCGGTGGGCCGTGACTCGTCAAAGTTGCGCACCTCGATCGTCACTCCGTCCTCTTCGCGACGATAGACGCTGAGCGTTTCGGGGACGGCAAGGTGGACGCCCTTGCGCACGCCATGCTCGACAATACCGCTTACTCCGGTCAACGCCTCGCGCAGCACCTTCTTGGGACCGGGCGGATCGCGTGTCGTATCGCCGCCCAGTGTTCGACCAATGTCAGATCGTGTCTTGCCCTTTTGCAACTTGCCGATGGGCTCAATGTCTTCCGAGTCGGACTCGGTCTGGTCTGCTCGACGCTTCTTGCCTCGCATGAAACGCTGCTGAAACTCGGCCCAGAACTCCATCATGGCCTCGGGAGTGGCGCCTTCGGGCATGATGCCGAAAGGCAGCCCCACGGGCACGTAGGGCATCATCGAGGCAGCCGTGGCGTGTGGAATCATGACCGACGATTGAGCGGCCATGGCAGCGGTGCTCGATGGGAGGCTGCCGTTGGCCATGCCTGTATGTGCACCGTTGACGTCCGGACCAGGACCGAATCCGTCGGTCGTGGTTCCGCCCAAGGCCTCGCGCATGGCCGGAAGGTGATGCTGACGTATCGCGTTGGCATTGGCTGGCTCGGATGTATACTGAGCAGCGGGTGGCGGTGGAGGTGCGAGGTCGTCTCCGATGAGCGTGGGTCTGATGCGACGCTTGCCATCCTTGGTGATGGTGATGGTCTGCTGAAGACGTTCTGTTTTGGCTGACGCTGGTCGTACGGGTGCCACGCTGCCCGCGATGGGCACAGGTGCAACGGAGGCTCTTGCGGGTTGCGCTTGTCCGGCTTTGCGGGGTTGGAGGACGTTGGGACGATCCGAGGTGCCCAGCGCCACGGCGGAGCTGGATGGACCGACGGTGTTGCGGATCCTCTTGACGCCGTGTTTGGCGCGCGACTGCTCGAGTCTCTCTGCGCTGAGAGCATCGGAGATGATGTCGGGAGTGAGATTGAAGACGGCGACGGTGCCGTCGGACGAGCAGGCGTAGAGGGTGTAGCCGTCGGCGGACCATGAGAGGTCCATGACCTGGCGCTCGAATACGTCTCTGGCCACGAGCACGGGCTGCTCGAGGCCGGTGACCCAGATGGAGACCGACTGGTCGAGGGAGCCCAAGGCGACGACGCAAGAGTGAGTGCCTCCGTCGAAGCCGACAAAGATCTTGGGACTGAATGCGGTGACGACGACGGCGTTCTCGTGGCCGACAAAGTAGATGTCGCTCGTCCACTGGGCCCGCTTGACGACGCTTGCGACAAAGACGGGGCCGCTCATGGCGTTTGCGCAGAGGAGCAAGCTGCCGTCCGGGGACCAGCTGGGACGGCGGAAGAAGGCGGTGGAGGGACTGGTGGTGAATGGCTCGGTGACGGACTTTTCGAGGCTCCAGTCGGAGGTGCGCCATACTTTGACGGTCTTGTCATCGGAGGCGGTGGCGAGGAACTGGCCCAAGGGGTCGAAGACGACGCCCTTGACAAAGCCTTGGTGAGCGTCGATGGTGCGGAGGCGGTCGAAGCTGGAGCCGGACCAGATAAAGACCTTGGAGTCGAGCCCGACGGTGGCGATGAATTCGTCGTCCTGCGCCCAAGCAAGATCGACGACGTCGGATTCGTGACCTGCTAGGCGACGGTGGGGTCTCCAGCTTTCGATGTTAACGTCGTCGGAGCCGAAGCTTCCGCCGCCCATGCCGCTGGGGTCGAGGTCCCAGATGAGGCCGACGGTGTCATCGGAGCCGGAAGCGAGGAAGCGGCCGGAGTTTGCCCAGCGCACGACGAGGACGCTGCCGGTGTGTCTGGAGAGGGTGGAGAGGAGGCGATGTGAGTTGGCGTCTGCTTCGGTTGCTTCCGAGAGCATGGTTGCAGTGGCCCAGATGCGGATCTTGGTGTCCAAGCCGGCGGTAGCCAAACGGCTCGAGTCCGGATGGACGGCGACGCTGAAGATGGTGGAGCGCTTTGCCTTTTTCTCGTCGTTGTAGTGAGCCACCCATTCTGGCAAGATGAGAGACATCGTGGCAGAGGGTGAGCGGGTGGAGGGCGACGATCACCCGTGGGCGTGGCGACCGGACCGCCGAAGCGTCAAGCGAGGGTGAATGCTGGATTGTCTAGCGAGTGGAAGCGGACGTTTGCCAGGAGCCTATGGACGACTGAGCAGCGAGAAAGCGCAATTCGAGGTGACTCCGAGAGGGCGATGATCGATACGCTGCTGCTGCTGTTCGTTGGCACAGCGTCGCGGCGCAATGTGCGGCACTGGATCCGAAGCAGCGCGGGCCGATGCCGATGCGAAGCGATGCTGCAAAGGAGTGCGATGGCGGGTGGGTCTAGGATGGCGTCGGCGAAGGTGGAGCGACATCCACGCTCACTTTCTTGCAATCACCTCGCCGACCGCATCAACGCGTGGAGCCGCGTGGAGCCGCCTGCTGCTGCTGCTTCTGCTGCCGACGTGAATCCAAAAATGCGGCATCCGAGGCTCCATCAATCATCTTCCGGCCCAACTATACTTCGGCTGCTGCTCGTTCGTTGCTGCTGGAGGCCGAGGATTTTCGTTCGCGGTTGCGAGACGCGCGCGGTCTTCCCCCACAGGGTTCAGCAGCGTGGAATGCATGCGCCGCGTCAAAGCCAGGCAAAAGCGAGAAGATGTTAGGCCTAGAGATGCCACTCGAATCGCTGCGGACGCTACGTTTGATTGCAATCATTTTAAGCTTGGCGAGGCAGCCCAAGGCAAGGCTGAGTCGGAAGCTTCCGAATCCGAGCGTGGACTTGCAAGAGCCTCAACGATAACACTATCGATAGAAGATCATCGACTGAGGCGAGGTGTTGGGCAAGGCTGGCAGAGGCTGAGCTGCGGATGCCTTGCCCTGTGCCATTTTCACGTAGTCCGTCGCCGCCGCCGATATCGGGAGACGGCCGAGGCGTGTTTGCATTTTCTGAGAGCTTCGGTCGGACCGACCGACGAGCGACCGTCCGTGAATCGGCAAAGTGTGATGATGCCTCGGCTTGGCAGCCCACGCCCGACCAAATGCGCTTCACCTCAATCGCATCTCCACTCTGCACTGTTCTCCACCCCAACACCCACTCATCTTCACCTCGTCTCGTCCCATCTCGCTCCATCTCGGCTCAGCACAGCAACAACGCCTGCTACCGTTCGCTTGGGACCCGGCGCTCTCTCTCACCGCACATTGCCCCGCCCAACATGCACCGCCATCCTTGAAGGCCTCCACACATCCCAAACCCTTGCCGGACCGTCCCCGTACCTCACGGTATCGCGACTCCAACGGCCATAGCTAGCTCGGCGGCATGCAACCCCAGCACCAGCTTCGATCCACTGCAGCGCATGCGCAACGCGACGCCTCCATCATGGACTCGCCCTTGATGGATGGCTTTCCACCTTCGTCGCCATCGCCTTCGCCTTCGCCTGCATTGTCCGCCTGCTCCTACTCCTCCACCTCGAGCGCAGGCGACTATTCGGACTACGACCCGGATCTCAATGCCCTCTCCCTCGAGGTCATCGACGAACCTCGGTACCGTCTCGTCGATGCAGGCCTCACTCTCCCACGCAGTCACACCCAACCTCCTGGCCTCGCAGACTCCTCGGACATCGACCCTCGCCAATCCACCCTTGCCAGTGGCGCCGCCACTCCGGTAGCTTCCCAATCATCAAGGTCGCTCCGCAACATAGACACGCCCAACGCCTCATCATCCTCACCTGTTGGCGCCGCTCTCTCCGCTTTCTCGTCCCTCTACCTCTCACAGTCACACAGTCACGCAAACCCCGACTCGACCGCGCCATCCACTTCCACCTCAACCCACCACACCGCCGACAGCGACCGCTCTGCGCCCGACTCGGACGACGATCGCGTAGATCGCGACACAGCCACCGATGGCTTCGATGCGCTCGATGTCGACGAGGAAGACATGCATGCCGAAGGCATCCCCGCCGCTCGTGGCTGGCGCCTCGACGCACGTCAGGCCGACACGCGTCACTTCCGTTCCAAGGTGATCGAGCTCTTCTCCCATCAGCTCCAGCTTCAAGGATGGTCCCAAGACACCGTGCACTCTTCCCTCTGGCCCTTGCAGCCCGACCACCTCAACCTCAAACGCATCAGCGGCGCCTTCACAAACGCCGTCTTCTTCGCTAGCTACCAACCTGCAGATTCCTCCTGTGTCGCCCCCGTCGCGCCACCCACCGTCCTCCTCCGCGTCTACGGCGCCAGCTCAGAGGCGCTGCTCTCCCGACGCGCAGAGCTCCTCATCCTCCACACCTTATCCAGCCTCTACGAAATCGGTCCCCACATCCTCGGCACCTTTGCCAACGGACGCGTCGAAGAGTTTTACGACTGCGACCCCATCCAGAAAGAGGGCATGCGCGACTTTGGCGACAGAGAGGCCTACATGCTCCCAGGTGGCAGCCTCGTCGTCAAGGGCCGCGAAGGCCGCGCACACTGGGTCGCGCGCCGCATGAACGAGCTTCACTCCGTCCCGCTCGAAGTTATGCGCACCGTGCTCGAACAGGGAAACTTGCATGGTCCCAGTCAAAAGGGCTTCGGAAGAGGAATCGAGAATCACATCATGGCAAGCTCACACCGCCCACGCCGCAAACATCGCTCTCGCCACACACCCGCCCCACTGGAAAAGGACGCGCCTTCTCCCAACGTCTATGGCCTCGACACTCGCGGCGTCATGCGTGCAAGCCCGGCCCCCATGGCCCCTGGCGAGCCCTCCCCTGCAGCCTCGATCGACATTCGCGCAGGCTCAGCTTATGCGCACCGCAACAGCTCCACCGTCTCGCTCGACTCGCTCGCCACGAGCTACAACTCGCAATCGAGCTTCTCCAGCGACAGCCCTTCCCTCACCGACGTCACCAGCCCAACCCTCTCCGCTGCCTCCGTCTCCGGCACCCCCAATCCCTACTTTCCTCCCATCTCAAACGGTCCAATGAGCCCCTTGGCCTTGGTCCCGCAGGGACGCACATCACAGAATCTCAAATCCTCGCGCGGACCTTACCCAGGAGTCTGGCGCAGGCTCAAGCGATGGTCCCTCGAGGCTGCCAAGGTCATCGAGCTTGTCGATCGATTTGCAAAGTCGGACAGCGGCGCCAAAGCCATCGCCATGTGCTTTTCCGGCCATCCCTCCATCCGTCAAGAGCTCCAAGCAGACCCAAACGCGCTCTCCACCGCCACCATCGGCCCCACGCCGGGCAACTTGCGCAACTCGCTCCGCGCCATCCGTGCCATCGACCTGCCTTCGCTCTACCACCAAGTCGAAGAGTTCAAGCGCTTTGTCAGAAAGTGGGAGCGCAAGGAGGGACCTTCCCGCCGCGTCTTCGCGCACAACGACGCACAGTACGGCAATTTGCTCGCCATCAAGCATTACAACGCCTTAACTGCAGCCCCAGCCACCCAGCTGAGTAACGGATCGCGCGATGCCAAGGCAGCTCCAGCAGAGACGCCATCCATCCCGGCGGGAATGCCACGTCTCTCGTCGAATGGTGTCAGGCGCGACAGTATCGCCTCTGCTGCAGGCTCCCAGAGCCCCGAGTCGGTCCGCTCCAAGAGCCGAAGCCGCGCCAACCTCCGAAAGCCGGCTCCGCTCCACCATCGCATCGTCGTGATCGACTTCGAATACGCCAGCCCCAATCCGCGCGGTTACGACATCGCCAACCACTTCCAAGAATGGCGCGCCGACTACCATCACCCCACCCTCTCGTGGTCCCTCACACACCACGCCAGCTATCCTGATAAAGAGCAGCGCCGCAAGTGGCTGCGCGCCTATGTTGAGCAGGGAAGGCTGCTGCGCATGGGTGGACGAGCATCCAAGGGAGGTTCTGCAGCCATGGATGTGCCCGGTGACATGGTGCTGCCCCCTGCCGTAGCATCTTTGCAGTACCCGCCGTCCAACTCTGCCATTCACGGTCCCATCACCACAGAAAGGCCCAGCGCGCCCGTAACACCCGGCACCGGCGCTGCCCAAGTGGCAGCCCTGGAGAAGTCCTTGGGTGACCGCAGCCGTCCCACGCCGTCTCAGAGGACGCCGAACGATTCCGGCGTGTCGGCCAAGTCTGGCAGCGGCTCGTTGGCCGGCGCATTGCAATGCGAAGTAGACGGACAGGCCTCCAGAGTGATTGGCCGACGGAGCAGCAACGACTCGATCTCGTCTTCTTCTTGGCAAGCACCGCCATCTGGGTCGCTGCGAGCCACCAACGTCTCTGCTCCGAGCACCCCGGCTGGCTCGCTCGGGCCCATGTCGCCTCTTCTCGATGGCTCGGCTTCTCCGCAGGTGATGGCGCTTGCCTCGCTCGACGCCAGCATCGAGAGGGAGATCGACCGACTCGAGCGCGAAGTGGACATCTGGAGTCCCGCCACCCATGCAGTCTGGGGCTTGTGGGGCATCGTGTTTGCCAAGGAAGAGCTCGAAGCCGTCCTCAGCAAAGCCACTGCAGAGGCTCGCGGCGAGCCTGTCAAGGAGACGGTGCTGTGCGAGACGAGCACTCTCAGCGTGCCATCCGCAGCCTGCTCCGAGACCTTTGACAACCTGCGATATGCGCTCGGTCGCATAGAACTGTTCCGCTCAGAGTGGCAGCGCCTCAAGGAGATGGGCATCGACTCTATCTAAACTACGAGTCTTTGCCAGGATCGTAGCAGAGGCATGGCAAAGTGCTGGTGCAGCGCTGGCGAATCTCGGTCTTTGTTAGGTTGCGATTCAGTCTCGGAAATCGGAAGCGGCATTTCCACAGTGTGCTGAGAGTGCTGCGCGTGAAGCTCCACATTCTGAAGACGCAGCTGATGAGCCGCCTTGCCCTGAGCGCTGAGTTTAGGCACCCACCACGTTCGCCCCCGCCATCACCAGTGCCATCTCCAACGCAGCAGCCATCGCTGTCGTTCTGCATCGCTTCGGCCTGTCTGCAAAGGCACAGGCAAAGCGCCCCAAGCGTTGTGCAGCATGGATACCGCAGCGGCGCAGAATCTGGCGATCCGCAACCTGTACGCCAAGGTGGAAAAGGTCGGCGAAGGTACCTACGCCTCGGTCTTCCTCGCGCGCAACGTCAAGACAAGCCAAAAGGTGGCCATCAAAAAGATCAAGATCGTCTCCAACGAGAATGGCATGGACGTCACCGCCATCAGAGAGGTCAAATTCCTCAAGGAGCTCAATCATCCCAATGTGATCAAGGTGCGTTAAGCCGACAATGAAGAAGCACCGACGCTGTCATTCGCAGTGCATCAGGGAGTCACGGTGAACGTGGCTGACACTCGTTTCCTCACCTGACAGATGGTGGACGTGTTCTCGTCGGGCTCGGCCTCGCCTTCCCTCAACCTGGTGCTCGAGTTCCTAGACACGAATCTCGAAGCGCTGATCAAGGACAAGGCGCTCATCTTTACGCAAGCCGACATCAAGGGCTGGATGGCGATGCTGTGCCGTGGCATGGAGTACTGCCACCGCAACTGGGTGCTCCATCGCGATCTTAAGCCCAACAACTTGCTCATCTCGCCCGAGGGTGAGCTCAAGATTGCCGATTTCGGTCTGGCACGCGAGCACGGAGACCCGGGCGCCCGCATGACGCACCAAGTGGTGACACGTTGGTATCGTCCACCGGAACTGCTGCTAGGCTCGCGCGCCTACTCTTCTTCTGTCGACATGTGGAGCGTCGGCTGCATCTTTGCCGAGCTCATGCTTCGCGTTCCGTACTTGCCGGGCGAATCTGACGCCGATCAGCTCACCACCATCTTCAAGGCGCTCGGCACTCCAACAGAGAAAGAGTGGCCCAGTCACAAGTCGCTCCCCGACTACAAGTCGTTCGAGCAGCATCCCAAGTCAAACCTCGCTGACCTCTTCCTGGCTGCGAGTCCCGAAGCGCTCGACTTCTTGCAAAGGACCCTGCTGTACGATCCGCTGAAGCGACTCAGCGCGAATCAGTCGCTCCACCATGCATACTTCAAGCAGAGCCCACCGCCAACGCCATTCAAGCAGCTTCCACGACATCCGACCAAAGCGTTGGACCCCGAAGATCCGGCTTCGCATCCCTTGCTATCCGACAGCAAGGAGAAGAACGAGGTGCGCGAGAAGCAGCAAGCTGACGCACGGAATGGCGCCAACGGCAAAAAGCGGCCACTCGATGCTAAAGAGATCGAGGAGCGCAAGCGTCTGGCAAGAAAACTCGCTTTCCAGTGAAGCTCCCGCTCCACCAACATCTGTACTGGTAAACGCATTCGTCATCTACCCCACTGGCATCAACTTGAGCTTCTGTCGGCGTAGACTAAGAAGCTGGGAGTCGACGAGCAGCGGAGTGCAGTGGATTGACCGGATCTAACACTGCAACATTTTCGTGCGTTTGCAGCAGGCTTCAACACGCTGCAGCGGGACGTAAGGCGACGGATTGGGGCTCCGCTTTGCGCGACGCTGTCAGGTAGCGGCGGTGACCAAGGCAAGCCGGCTACGGCCCAGGAAGCTCCCTGGCAATCACAGATGATTGGCACAATGGCTGATGATTGGCACAAAGGGCTTGTACATTCAGGAGCAACAATGGGACTGATGTGAAGCGGAAGCCCAACTTGGCACAAACACGGACGGGCGGAGGCCAAAGCTGCACAGCGCGGGTTTTGGACACGGCCCGTGACGAATCATCCCGTGTGATTCGGAAGATCTCTCGGCGCTTGACACCCATCGCCTCACACACTCCTTCTGCATCGTCGCTGCATCTCTTCTCACGCCATCAAAGGATCGAAGCGGCTCCGAGACGGGGACTCTGACATGGACGACAACCCGGCTGTCTCAAGGCTCTCCCAAAATTCGGCTGCCCTAGCTTACACGGCCCGCCCTGTCGTTCTGATGGCGCAAGCGGGCACATCGGTCCCTAAGATCTGCAGCTGCTCTGAAACCACATGCCATCCGCGAGCACGTTGGCATGGCTGGTTGTCCCTTGTTCGGCCAGGTTTGAGCCCCCGGGCTCGGCACGCAGTCCAGGGTCAATCCGGCATCGCTTAGCTATGCACGACAGCCCGGTCTCTCACGGCTTCTCACTTTTTCCGGCTGGCTCTCACAGCCACTGGAGCTGGCACATGCAGGGTGCATCGGGCTCGGTGACTGAGACATGGACTCTGCCGTACAGCGCCCCGTGTTCTCCCGGTCGCAAACCCAGTCCATGGCTCCCTTTTATTTTCGGCAGTGTCGCCATCCTCCCCGTCTTGGGCTCGGTAAGCTGACAGCTCCCGTGGGTCTGTTAAGGGAGACGAGCTCAAGAGTATCTGCTCCAGCGTTCGGTGATCCACATCCGGAGTTCATTCGGGGCTCGGTCTGCGCATGGCCGCACAAGCCTGCCGAGGCAACGAGGTCGCACGCCGTCTTTCGAGCTGCAAAATCGAGTTGAAATCCCAGAATGCCGCACACAAGGTGCGGACCATGTTTCACCGAGACAATGCAGTTGATTTCCGAGTTGCGAGCGAATGATACTGATACAGTGAATGCAAATGGAGGCGTGAAGCAGCGTGGACCAGGCGTGCTGAAGACCGTGGAAGCTTTTGGTATATGCCTTGAGAATGTGAGACGGGACGAGAGCAATGCGGGGCCTAGGCAAACGCGCCAGCGAAGGCTGACATGGTAGCGTCTGACTGAAGCGAGGAGATGTAGCCAAGGTTGGCCGGGAACGCAGGCAAGAGCTGCTCGGGAGAAGAAAAGGCTGAAGATGGAGCAGACGGAGCCGAAGGTTCCATCTTGACGAGGTCCTCCATTGGGAGGGAAGGCATGTTTGCAGAAAAGCCGTTGGTCATGCAGGGGACGTTGTAGAGCTCGAGACCGCCGACAAAGTCGTGGAAGTGGGCTTGGCCCGAAGCGCATGGGTCGATGCTCGAGGCAGGGAAGGTAGCCGAGAGAGGAGTATTGAGCTCAGAGAAGGTCTCGCTCATGGGAGTGAGAAGAGAGCTTGACGACGAGGAGACCGAGAGAGCTGGAGAGGAAAGCGACGACGAAAGTGCCGGAGTCGAAAGAGGCTCGATCATCAGAGGAGCCGGGATGGGATGTGTGAACGATGAGGTGCCAGTGATGCTTTGCAGCTGCATCGAGCTTTCGGGAGAAGCGACGACCGCAAAGTAGGAATTGACGTCTTGCTCCATCGGACTCGAAGTCGGAGGCGGTGTGATCGGCGAGGCAATCATAGCAACGTGAATCGGAGTCGGCGAAGAAAGGGCTGGCTGGGACGTGTAGAAGCCCGTGGGATAGGGCGCCATGCCGTGCACGAAGGCAGGGGGCATACCATAGGCTGCGGCGAACATCCGCGAGTCAGGAAGATGGCTCCTGTCGTAGTAGACGCGCGTCTGCTGCCGACGTTGGGTGAGCTGACGCTTGTACGAGCGCGCCTTGAGCTTCTCGTCGGCAGGCACAGGCTCGTAGCAGCACTTCTGATCCTTCTCGGTGCAGTGTGCACAACCATCCAAGTTGCCGTTGCACTTAATTTTTCTGGTGTGGTGAAAGAGGAGCTGGGTCAGATGTCGGCTCGCTGGGCTGCAAGATGAGATTGCGGGTTCGGAGACGTACCTTCGGCGGCAGGCGATGCACGCTCGCTGAATGCGGCTTCGTCGCGACATGGAGATGGGCGATACGAAGCCCATGTACTCGTGGAGCAACTGCATATTGGAGTGGGCCTGGACGGCGTCGAAGGAAGACATTGGGTCGAATGTGAGCGATACTCTTGAGAGCGAAGGGAGCGGAAGGTAGGACGAGGATGAGATGCCGGAGGGGTAGGGGCGAGCGACGAAAGGAGCGTTGATGGTTGATCTTATAGGGAAGCTTGGTGGAAAGCACGACATGCGGCACCGTGAGCGCGCTGGGCGAGGCGGAGAAACATTCAGGAACGGTGGAGCTGCAAGTGCAAGCTCCAACACCACGTTTGTTCGCCTGTCGTCGGCTGCGCCCTGGTCGCTTGCAAAGTGCCGTGCAGTATCAGGTTTCAGGCCTTACCCGGTGTCGTGGATCCTTACTTGGAGCAAGCTGGTCCCAGCTAGAGACGGGCGGGCAAGACAAGGCACAGCTTAGGAACCCTTCTTTCCTTCCTGGCGCTGCCAGGGAGCTCATGCATTGGCCATGATCTTCCTTGATTGCATGTCTCAGGGGAGTCCCTCGTTTGGATCCTTTCAAGGCGCGGTCAGACAGACGGTAAGAGACCAGGATAAAAGGCCCGGAAAATGCTAGAGACCGGGACGACTGTCTTAGATGAGTCCCAAGCGAAGGGCAGACGAACCGGAAGACTGGATCACGAGGGGCCCACGAGGAGGCGCAGGTCAGCAGGGGGATGTTTCCGCGGGCCATAAGGAGCCCAGCACGGGCCCCGACTGTCAGCTTGCAGAGGGCGCAAGCCGACAGTGAGGGCAAGTACGACACAATAGGGAATTTCAAGGTCTGGCCGCAAAGCAAGATGGCGCGGGAGCGAGCGAGCTCTGCTTGACGTCGGAGGCGCGGCTTCCAGTCGGAGGTACAGCATGCAACGGGCTGCAGATGGCGAGCGGGACGCGCACGGCTGTCGCCCCCAGAGGGCGCAGGAGACACCCCACCGCCGAAGCTCCGGGGCTGCTGTACTCGATTTGACCCACCGCCCAGCCCTGAGGGCGGTGAAGGCGTAAAGCACGAGAGAAATAAATATAATAAAGTGGCGTCTACAGTACGCAGTGGGAGAGTCTTCCAGTAGAGCGGAGCGGTGGCTTTGGACAAGATGCTCCAGCGGAAATTCTTTCACCCAGTCCAGTCTTTTCCTTTCTTTTTTTTTCTTTTTCTAAAAACTAATTTTAGATCTTCAGGCGACTTTGATTGGGGTCGAACCCTGCCTGAAAGCCTCGCTTCCAGGATCTGCACCTCGGTTCGAGGTGCAACCCTGCAAATCCGCCAAAGTTTGCGGAATAATCTGGGGATGTGGTGCACCAGCAATCTTGGCCTGCCGAACGTGCTCCACTTTACAGTTGAGACCTTACCGCGCAGAGTGGGGACCATGGTGTCCCGACTCGCGAGTGCTTCTTGCTTGCTTCGACATGCAAGTCGCTTGATCAACACCGCCTTCTCGAGCTGCAGGGTGCGAGGCTTGCAGTAGGGGTGAGACCCTGACCTGAGCCCTTAGCCAAATTGGATCCACACCGCCTGGGAAGTGCCTGAGGCGGCCTGGTAAGGTCGCACCGACTTGGCCGTCGCGCGTCGGAATTATTTTCGTCTTCGCCGCTCCGAAGGCGTCTTCTCAACGTGAAAGGCAGTCTTGCGCCAGGTGTAAATGACATGCTTTTCTTCGTGCGGACCTCACCGAATAGGTGGTGAGGCCCGCCAAGGATCAAAGGGGAAGCGTCCAGGCCGGCTCACAAATTGGTGAGGGACGGTCCCCAACATGCCAGGCCTCCCACAAGTCGATACGTGAGCCCGCACGGACTTACTTGCGGGGCTGAGAGCGGTAAAGAGCGAGGCGGAAATTCTCAAAGATCACAATGGCGGACAGTGGGCCATATCCACGTGGAGTCGGAGGAGCACCACGCATGCACATGCCAGACACAGGATCATGAGGCCACCCAGCAGATCTATTGTGCATCTGACTCTCTCCTTCTGGGTACGAAGTGATCCCGGCAACGGGATGGCGACGAAGTGAGAGCGCCGCCAGTCAGTACACCTGCCTGTCTTTCCCGACCTGGCGCGGGCGGACACGGGCCTCCACGAGACACAAGTCTCCCATCGTCGGCCTACCACCCTTTCCCGAGCCTGACCGACCAGGCAAAGACCCGGACCCGAACACATCAGGACGGCGTCAAGAAAGCTGGGCTTCTTGAATCTTGTTTTCTCAATTTACCGGCTTCTTTGTCCAATGATTGCCCCTATTGAGAAGCGTGCCTGCATCGGCCGTGAACCTCTCATTGAAGATTGAGCCCATCAGAAGCCAAATGTCAGGACAAGCAGTCAAAAGAAGCCGCAGCTATGTCACATTCTACGAGTCTCCACCGCAGCCTTCAAAGCAAAGCTCACTTATGACAATCAATGTTCTGCGAACATGGCTGCCTTCTAAAGGATTCCCTCCTGCTACAGCACGACTCGGAAAATCCCGCACAGACCACAAAACAGACTTGTCTGGCTTATGCAAGTGCTGCCGGTCGGAAGACGGGCGGCCTTGTCATTCGCATAGCGAACTTGAAACAGTCGGGGTGCGAAGTAGTGCAAGATCACGAATCTGACGATTAAGAAAGACACGGGAGACCTCTTCGGTCTGACCTACAGTACGGCCAAAACGTGCCAATGTCGGAGTCCGTCTGTATCGGCTTGGCAAAGGCTCGGAGACGGCGAAGCAAGTGTCTGTGCGGTAGCGACCAGAATCCCGTGGGACGAGCCGACATGTGCGACGGTAGGAAGAGGAGAGAGTCAATCGAGTGGCGCAGGAGATCGCGAGGGTCGATCGGCGGCGCTGAGCTGGGAGCAGGCGAACGTGTGCTAAATCTACCGTACCTTGCATCAGGCCGAAGCCGACATCTCCCCCAGCGCCGCGGAGTCGGATCACGGTCTGGAATAAAAGTCGCTGCGAGTAGAAGTCGGCCTTGCGACTGACAGCTTGCATGCTATGCGGACGCTGCGCGAGAGATGCATAGATGGCGAGCCCAGCCAACAGCTGGGCGTGAAGATTCACTCCGCAGGAGGGAGCGCGAACACGGCCACCGGCGTAGACCGGCGCAGACGGATCTGCTTCAGTCTCAGCGCCCGCCCCAAGCAGTCATGCAGTCGTGCACCCGGTGCGGAGCCTCGTCGAGTCGGGAAAAAATGTCTTGCCCGCAATTTCAGCGGGCTAAGTGAGACAAGGGCATTCCAGACGCTGGCCGAGCAGAGTTCGGAGCTTCGGCAGAGCGCGCGCGCGGGATCGTGCAGCGCGCACGCCTCCCCACAAAGTTCACTACCTGCGGGACGCTTTTTTCTTTGCATCCCCGCAAAACAAATAAATAATACTGTAATTAGAAACAAGATCGCTTCGTTCATTTGTGAGCTCAGATTGAGAAGGATGATCCCCCGCCACGAGTCACAGATACAAAATAGAAAGAAGCCACACAGATCCTCGCCTGTCTCGGCGCAAGAAAGAAAGCGAATGATCGGCTGTCGCAGGCGTTCATTATTTCTCTCTGCCCGGACGCAGGCTCAGATGTTGGCATCGCCTTTAACAAAACAAAACAGATCCTTATTACAACTTAGAATTCCCCAATTGCGCCCCGCCTCGCCCCAGCTGCGAACGCACTGCACGGGGTCCCGAGGCACTGTTGACGATTCCGCTCGCTTGCGCCATTCGCACGTCTGCCCGCCCTCGTGCGGGGCTGAGAGAGCTGTCCACTATCGGTTGTGATAAAGTGTCCAGCCCACGGCACCCGTAGGCTAGATGAGCCTCGTCAGTATACGACCATTTGCAGAAGACTTTTTCCGCTCTTGTCCGCGGCCGACTCAGGTCGGCACAGTCGTACCTTGTCGTGGTCCTGTAGGGTGTCTCGGATATCGGCTGGACCTTGACCATCTCATCCACGGGTTTGCCACGCCGTACCGAGGTCGCCACACGGACCCTGTCCAATGCATACCTGCTTCACCGCGCCCTTCAGCAGTGTGCCTCTTCCTCGTTGTCGTTACTTGCCTTGCCTTGCCTTGCCTTGCTTTGCGGCCGGGTCCGTGCGCTGGACTCCGGCTCATCAGTACATCTGCTCTTTGCTGCCGATGTCTGAGCACGTCAAGCTCAAGAAGCCGATGCCTCACATTGGCTCAGCTACGTTGTCCAGGTATCGATTGAGTGGCGAGCTCACGCTCATTTGTTAGCCTGTCTGCGAGACAGCTCCAGAGTCAAACATGTCCTTTTCGACCCTGCAAAGATGTTGGTTGAGAGATGACGCTTTTTGAACGGCGATGCTCCGCCTCCCAACTCCTGAATCCCGCGGATCGACAAGACAACCGAGTGGTCAGGATCGTCTGGCGACAAATCCTTTGTGGGAATCTGGAGGCGACACCAGTCGATGCAGCTCGCACCCACGCTTTGCCCGAAGGCGACTGCGGCTCAACAGTGACGCGCTGAAGCGAGGCGCCGCTGTGGTAAAGCGAATCGCAACGGGATGCTGGCTTGGCTGAGAACCTCTGCCGCGAACGAGAGGCACCGCAATGGACACAGGGCACTCTCCCATGCGGGGGTTCAAAATTTGGCTCGCATTGCTCAGCGTCCCGCGAAGATCCCCGCACGAGAAAATCAGAAAATCCGCTCTGCGGATCTGCATCTCTGAACTCGCGAATTGGCTTGTTGGCCAGCTGTAAATTCATTTTTATTTTTTTACTGTCACCCAGCGCTTGACGCTTGACGATGATCGCTCAACGCGTTCTGGCTCGGGTGCGCCTCCTGCCTCCTCGACGTACTTTTAAGCCACTCCGAATTTGTTGCGCCACGGAGGCGTGCGTTGATGGCGGGGCTACGCGTCCATAATTCAGAGGAGGCACCGTCCGGCCGTGAGCCAGAAATTGAAACAGGTCGCCAGTCGAGGTTTCCGGGCGAAGGCGTCTTCAAGGCCCCTCGGATCTCGAAGTAGTTTGAGTCGGGCCAGACTGACCCGACTGACACAAGATCAATTGTCTGTGGGTCACCTGAGTGGCACAGTGAATGGAGCACGGCCAGGAGATTTGCTCGAAGGGCCCCGGCGAGGTAGGCCGCTGTAAAGCTCCACGGACCTTGCGGGCTGCAACCTCGGGATTGACAATTCGGACTGATTTTAAAGTAAATAATTTCAGAGAGACGTCTGTGTTCAATTCCATCTTCGATGGCGCCAGAGGTGCGCCTGCACGTGTGAGAGACTGTTCTTGGTGTCTAGCAGGCTCTTCTTAGAGCAAGATAGGCAACTGCGAGACTTGCTTTGTATCGTGATCTTCATACACAAACGACAAGAGTCCGAATCTAGAGTCACAGACGAGTCAAGCCATAAGGAGAAGGGAGAGAAGCTGATTGAATTCGAGGCCAGAGAGAGAACATCGCAGACCGTGTTCAACAGCTATGCAAAGAAAAATGAAGACCCATAAGGAGAAGTGTCCGAGAGACCCAAGCCAGCGTATAGCAGTGGCTGAGCACGTCGATCAGACATCTAGAATGAACTTAGAAGCAGAAAGGGGAGTGAGAAATGTTGGGGTTTGAACCGAGAGGGTGACGTTTTAATGACCGAGCTGCGTCACCGAGACGCTTGCTGCGAGAAAATCCATGACTAGTGAACCGGAGCAAAGGGGGCGCATCACGAATCCTGCAGGATGGAGAAGGAGTTGCACGAGACAGCGCCAGGTCGCGGTGAGGATCGACTCAGTGGTTGCCGTTGCCGTTGCCGTTGCCGCTGCCGACACCGGTGTTGCCGTTGCCGTTGAGGTTGCCGTTGAGGGCGCCGGTGTTGCCGTTGCCGTTGTCGTTACCCGAGAACGAGGCAGTGTTGCCGTTACCGTTGATGTTACCGTTGCCGTAACCCTTGTTGCCGTTACCGTTACCGCTTCCGGTAGTGCCATCGTACCAGCTGTTGAGGGAACCACCAGTGTTGGCGTTACCGTTGCCGTTACCGTTACCGACACCCTTGTTGCCGTTGCCGTTCTCGTTACCGGCGTTGTATCCCGAGTTCAGGTTACCGTTGGCGTTGCCGTTGAGAGCACCCTTGTTGCCGTTACCGTTGTCGTTGCCGAGGTTCGTGCCCCAGTAGTTCAGGTTGCCGTTGCCGTTGCCGTTGCCGTAACCCTTGTTGCCGTTGCCGTTGTCGTTACCCGACCAGCTGGCAGAGTTGGCGTTGCCGTTGGCGTTGCCGTTGGCAATACCGTACGAGCCCCTGTAGGAGGTAGGAGCGGCGGAGACAGCGACGGCAAGCGAAGCAGCGATGAGAACGGCGGAGAACTTCATTTTGAGATGTAAAAGTTGAGGGTGTGATTCCGAAGAGAGGACCAGAGAGCTTGAGTAGAGTGGAGAGAAGAGTAGTAAAGAGATGTGTAGAAGAGATGAGTGATGATGGAAAAAGGGGATGAGAGACCGTTTGTCGTCCTGCTTATAAGCCTTTCTGAGACGCCTAGTTGACTTTCTTGAGCCATAGCGAGGCATACTGGAAAGAATGGGCCTTTACCGTATGGCGTGCCTGGCAGACTACAGCGACGCGCTACCTGCTACTGTGAGGAATGCTACAGCCGACCAGCAAGCGGCGTTGACGTCGGTCACGGCTGGTTCTGGGCACATCGGTGTGCCTCTGACGCTTGCCGTCGGGGAAGGAGCTCTTCCCGTTGCATCGCTGGCTGCATCAAGAGGAATCCGTCATCGCTCGGGACAGGCGCGAGCTCCCGACGACGTACAGTGTGAAGCAACAACTTCCCGCTGTGGAGGTAGGTGGTAACGGTCACTTCTTCCTTCGAGTTGAGCGCATGTGATGGAGATGCAAGGAGAAAAGGGACAAGAGAAACAGATCAAGGAGGACGTATGCATGCGGGCTGGCGCAATCAAAGCAGCGGGGAGGTCGGCAGGCCGGGAAGACGGAAAGCCATTTGCGTGAGCTCCCCGCCCGCACCATGCACCATGCACCTGCACGCGTGCCTGGACAGGTGCCGCTCCACTGGCTCCCCGCAGTCAGAAAGAAAGGATTTACTGGAGACGAGCTTTCTCGGAAAATCAATATGTCATTCCCGCTGGATTGCGAAGTCAAAAAACATTATTTTTTTCCTAATTTTCCGCCTTGCGCGATGGACGGGATGGACGGAAAGCTGGAATCGAGGCAGTGCGCGGGCCAGCCCTCATTTTTTGAACACACGCTAGCATCTGCCTTGCGCAGCTGAAGTCCTAGAAGCCTTACCGGTGAAGAAAAGAAGAAAAATAGGAAAAAAATAATGTTTTTTGACTTCGCAATC